ATGGTATTTGATGTAAGATATTCTGTTCACCATGCAGGTGACAATGATGTTTGATGTTATATACTGTTGGTGTGATGCAGTGTCCCATGTTCCTTCTGTGTGTGCACCAAAAAACACGTCCAATCATATACTCGGTTCTTGAGAAAAGTAATTTGGACTGTTCGTGTAAATTGAAAACAATATACTTATTGAAAAGCATTCCTGTTGATTACCATCCGCCTCACGATGTAAGGTACAACTTTCACTTTATATGCTGTAAAATTAAGAGTTATCTGTTCTGAAATATTTTAATATAATATTTGGTTTCACATACAACTCTTTCAATATGTTGTTATTAAATTGAACTTTTCAACGTTTTGTTATAAAACACAGTTTATCTAATATATTGTTATAAAACACAGTTTATTTAATACATTATTATAAAACACAGTTTATTTTAAACATTGTTATAAAACATAAAACAGTTTATTTAATATATTGTTATAAACACAGTTTATTTAATACATTATTATAAAACACAGTTTATTTTACACATTGTTATAAAACATAAAACAGTTTATTTAATATATTGTTATAAAACACAGTTTATCTAATATATTGATATAAAACACAATTTATTCAATATATTGTTATAATACACAGTTTATTTTACACATTGTTATAAAACACAGTTTATCTAATATATTGATATAAAACACAATTTATTCAACATATTGTTATAAAACACAGTTTATTTAATACATTGTTATAAAACACAATATATTCAGTACATTGTTATAAAACACAGTTTATTCAGTACATTGTTATACAACACAGTTTATTTAATATATTGTTATACAACACAATATATTCAATATATTGATATAAAACACAATTTATTCAGTACATTGTTATAAAACACAGTTTATTTAATATATTGTTATACAACACAATATATTCAATATATTGATATAAAACACAATTTATTCAGTACATTGTTATAAAACACAGTTTATTTAATATATTGTTATACAACACAATATATTCAATACATTGTTATAAAACACAGTTTATTCAATATATTGTTATAAAACACAATTTATTCAGTACATTGTTATAAAACACAGTTTATTTAATATATTGTTATACAACACAATTTATTCAGTACATTGTTATAAAACACAGTTTATTCAACACATTGTTATAAAACACAGTTTATTCAACACATTGTTATAAAACATAAAACACAGTTTATTTAATATATTGTTATACAACACAATTTACTAGCTAACATTTATCACCATATCTTCTGATTTAATTTGATTTTATATAGACACTACAACATTTCAAACATATTTTTTTTTTGTTCTACCGATTTTGTCTTGTGAACGTTACTATAGATATTACAACCTTCCAAAAAGACTTCTTGTGTTTTTTCTGTTTTGTTTTTCTTTCTTCCGGACTTACTATATAGATATTACAGCTTTTAAGGCAGATTTGTTCTGGTACTATTATGTTTTTTTTTTGGGGGGAGGGGTGTCTTGTTTTTTTTTTCTATTCATACTTTTTCAACTAATGTATAAATGGTTTAGTCAACCAGAACACGCACAGTCACGAACCCGCTACAACAAGGTGGGCGAAACATGGCTGCCCTTATCAACAGAGGGTATATCAGCTAAGAATCTGTATGTGATTGAAACAATCTAATTTAGAAAGACCGTCGCGTCTTGCTACTAGACAGCAGTAAGCCTAGAATCA